TGATCCGAGAACAGCTAGGTAAAAACAAGTTTGTAACAGCAACTAAGGACCATTAAAGTGCAGTTCATTGCAGGCAATCTCAAAGGACTAATCAATTGCATGCAATCACAGGAGAATCAAGCTGCAAGTTTATTTTGTTCCTTAAATGGGACTGGTATACAGATTCTTGACCCTCTGGATTCATGGATCTCTGTTTATCCACAAAGCTTCCCACACAACTCCATGTGCTCTATCAAAACTTTTACTAGTAAAAACACTATGAAGGTTTTTTGACATTATCTCGAGCCTTTCAGATGAAAAAAGACTTTTTTAAGCTACACAAACTAGTCCAGCCAATAGTGATTTTCTCATGTGGTTTAGTTTTCATTTTGGAAAAGCAAAGGGTCCTTACAAAAAGTGAAAAATTAACATTTTTCATACAGAGGCATTGATTTGATCTTTCTAAAGAAGAGGTTTTAGAAATCTTAAAAACCTTTCAGCATGTCCAAAGTAAACACTACTCTACCATCACTGACAAACTGTTGTGCACGTTTACTTTACATAAGAAAAAAAAACACCAACCCAGAGTGATGGTTGTTTTTCCCAGGGTTCAAACTTTTTATCTGTTTATCCCAAAAGCTGTGTAATAATTCATATACAGTTGGAAGACAAGTTAAATGAAGCAGTTCTTAAACAGAAAAATTGAAAAATTATACTGGAAATGTAAGAGAGAGAATCAATACGTAAAGTCAATAAATTACCCTGCTACAAGAGCTCCTAAGAAAACACACCAAAAAAAAGAAAGCGTTATTTTACAAATCCTACATCTTAATAAAATTAAATAGATTTTAAAGGACCTGTCCTGGTTTGACCTCATTAACAACTTTTATTGTTCAACATCTTGCTGTATTTTGCAGTCAGTATGCCTTTTAGGTTTGTTTACTTGAACACAAACATATTGAAACAGGTTTGAAACAAGACAGATTTTTCTGAATGTGGAGAATGCAGCCAAAACACTAATCATGCTAACCATCAGTTTAACAAACGTGTTTTATGTACACCATGTTCAGTCTGAACACCATGGTTCCCTACTGCAACAAAACAGGCAGATACGCTATCTGGCGATAAGTACTGTTACCTTACTGTCCTCTCCTCCTTCTCTCCCATTCCCCTTTGAATACTAACTTGCGACCTGTGTGTCTCGTCAGTCTAATCATCAGCTTCCGCGCCTCCTCCGCATTATCCTTTGTGTCTTTCACAAAGGAAACAGGTTTCTGAAGTCCATGTTTCTCCAACAGCTCTGACACGCTGTAAAAGAACAGTCAACATTTTTGAATCCTGTACAGTTTACAACTACCTCTGCTGCAGAAGTCTTAAAGCTGTCTCAGACAACATACTGCAAATGCAAACAGTCTCCATAAAGTCTACCACAGTACAGATTAGCTAGAGTAACATTATTTACTCAAAAAAAAAATAATAATATTGTAGGGTAAATGCATATCACCAATAACCTGATGACATATCTTCAGATATTCAAGGAAAATACATGTGCAGTTTTATAATATTGAAATATCTAAAACCATTCAAAATTTCTAAGTTCTAAATACAAAAAACTTAGACTAGGTTGTTGACAGCATTAAAAACAAGATAAATGCTCTTGATACTTTTCTGTCATAGAAAAGCACTTGGCTATGCCTAGTGCCTTCTGTAAGAATACATTTTTTATTTTAGCAAAATTAAATACCTAAGAATTTGTTCCAGTTCATCTACTTCATCATGAAGAGTGTTAGTTTTATCTGTTTCAGGCCTGCAAAGATATTATACAATTAATATTAAATATATATATTCATACTTCTTGTAATTTCTTCATGTAATTCTTATTATATAGACATAAAGAGAAGCAGTTTGTACATTTCTTGATGAAAATAAAATATATATTTGCTTGAAAATATTAAAACTGTTGGCTTCTTGCTAGAAGGATAGCTAAAATTGAGAGGCTCCCTCAGTCTCCCAAGAACAGAGCTTTTCCTTCTTCCTTAGGCTTTTCTCAGGCTCTCTCCTTCCTAAATGTAAAAGATACCAGGAGAATAGTTTATATTTGCTTCTCATGCTTTCACCTTCTTGAGGATTGCTTGTCCTTCATATAGGTCTTCTATATAGAGACCTCTTTCACAGGGCCATATTGGTGCTTATAAACTAAGTGCAAGATGCCACTAACTGTAACAAGATCAAGACCAGTAAGAGAGCACTAACACTTGGTCTCGATTCACCAGCATACATATACATATATGACCATGGCAACTCAGACAGGAACAGAATATTCCAGTAACATCATCTACCCTTTAGTGACTTAACTATTCTTAAAACAGTAATTCACAACCGTATTTAACATCTCTAAAATATTTACAAATAACTAACTGAAAATGTTTACCCATATCCTCTTTGTGGAAGGCATTCCAAAATATCGTAACAGAGAGAGAGCTGGTTATCTCGTTCACAACTATAAATACATTCCAATGCCATAATCATCAGCTGGTCTTGATCAGGAATAATTTTTTGCTGACACTAACATGAAAAAAAAGCACATTATTTTTAGTTTTCTGTTTCTAATTCAACAGTTAAGTTTCCTCTGAATGTAAAAAGATGTGTACTCCAAGTAAATAAATTGTCTTGTAATTAGAATGTCTCTTGCTAACAACTTAGTGAAGTACCTGTTGAAGTTACAGCCTGAAACATAACTCGGCTAGTTTCCTACACCACAGACACTTGAAAGAACAGTGTTATGCCATTATAACCTTTTTGAATTTGAGAGGTGGGGAGAGTGCAGGGCAGAGGATGGCAACTGCTGTAAACATTTGTCAGATTTATTTAATATGTACAACAGTATCAATAAACTTAAAATAGCTGTGGTTTTGCTTCACTGGTTGATTTCTGTCTATATACTTAGACCGTTCAATAGTGTGCAAAAACATGTTTATATGCCCTGGAATAATTATTTAAACTGTAGAAGCAGCATGAAATACTCACATGGAAGATAACTTCAGCCCTTACTCATTGAATTATTGGCTCCTTCCTAATGGCCCCCACTTTATTCCTTACATTTGTTGTGGAAAGAGAGGGGCACAGGTGGTGTGTGTGAAGTAACTTGAAATCTACTGCTAGTAAAATTCCTCAGGAAAAAAATTTAGTGATATCATGAAACTCTTTCATATCCATTTTTTTAAAAAGTGAACATGCTAGGAATTTACTTTAAACACATCATCAGAATATTACTTCAAAGAAGAATCTTTACAGTAATTTTTGTTCTACTAGGTCAAGATCATAATTACATTAGTGTGACAATCTCATGAAGGACAGTTTAGCTGCATCATAACTTATGCTATAATATTGTTTAATTAATGTTTTCTAAAACATAACAAATCCTGGGTCCAAGCAGAAGGGAAAGATCAGAGAGATGATCTGATTTAGAAGATGAACTAACCCTATTTATGAATTCACCTCTTCAGGACAAGAATTTCCAAATAAACCAGTCAAATCATCAGGGCTTTATACTTACAGCTGGTTTTGAATTCTGAAATATCTTCAGAGGTAGAGTCAGGTCTTCCTTTGCTAATGTTACTAAATATTCTTTAAAAAGTGAATTTGCTAGACCAGGGGACTGATTTTCACAGCGGTGGAGAAAAGGGATCATCCACTGATAAACATTCTTCACATATTTTTCATCAGAGGACTAGAAAGTACAATGAGTTACAGAAAGGAAAAAAAGAACAAGTTCAGCTTCATTGTCCAAAACAAACAAGAAAACCAAAAATCAAACAGTACATATTTCGATCAATATAAATGAAACTGTATCTTCACCTATCACAAACAACAGCTGAAGGCTGACATTCACCACTGCTGCACAGATCACTGCATCATGAAGCACTGAAACAATCCATCATCTTTCTGCTACCCAATGGCTTGGGGAAACCAAGCAGTACAGGAATAAAGCCCACTACATGAGGAAAGCCTAGCTGTTTTCTTCCTGCAATTTCAGAATGAGTGAAAGATCGGCTTGCATTGATGTCAGAGTTGTATTACTTTCAGTATGCAAGAATGCAAGACAGAAAAACAAACGATGAGTGGTTATATAAATCCTAGCAAAATTTTGAAAATTCTAAGTATTCTCCTTGGTGCTTACATATTCTTTGACTGAATTTCAGAGCCCCGTTCAATTTCTAGGTATTTTTCAACCTTTCCAAGAGGTCTTTTTCTATTCTAAAATGCCATGCACAGGCTGAACACAGACAAGATGAAAAACACACATATGCTGCAGAGGCAAATATCAAGATTTTTTTGCCAGTATTTAAAGACACTAAAAACCGTCCAAGGAAAATACTCAATGTTGTTGTATCTGCAACATCATCAACAGCTACACTGAAGATCCTTTAGAAAGGGTCAATGAAAAAGCAATTCACAGCTTTCAAAAGACTAGATTTATTAACATTTAGTCCTGTGTCTAGGACAAAGAAAAAGGTCTTTGAGAAAACCGAGCCATTTTAGGTTTTGTTAAATAAAGAAAAAAAAACCCACCACAGCAAAAAAGGAACAGTAAAAGTGTTGAATTCTTGTTGAATTAAAGATGGAGACTCATCACAAAAACGTCAGTCACTAACAGTATCTTTATATACACAGGATCTAGGGTAACTCGAGTTACTGGAAATCAAGGTGTACTTACTGATTTATTCAAAATACTTACATTCTTCATCAAGAGTCTCAGCTTTTCAATGTCTTTCATCTCTACAAGTTCCTTCAAAGTTAAGGTTCGATCACCACCAGTCTCAAAAACTACTGTCTCAAGAGTGATCAGATTGTCACAAAGCACCTGCAGACCAGGAATGTTCCTCTCCATGCCAAGACGAACAAGGGATAGAGCACAGTCCACCTGAAAAAATAATAAAACACCCCTGCTGTACAATTGTTCACCAAAAAACAGCTTTGAGTCCAATCTGTGTCCTGTCTGCGTGTTTATTTTCTTCGCCTGTTCCTTTTGCTTTACAGGCAATTCTAAGTTCCTAGAAGTTTTTGTGGATTGTATATTCCTAAATGGATTGCTCTTCTCAGCTTTATAAAGATCAAATAAAATGCCTAATCTTAGCGGTTGATGACATTATAGGCTTTTGACCTAGATGCATCCTACTGATGCATGTAAATTAGGAGAATACTATTCCTTCTGGAGGTCACACACAGAGATACATCACCTCATCTCACTGCATGGAATATGAAGGATTGCTCTAAACTAAGATAATCAGTTAACTGACTGAAATTATGCATACCTCTGCATGTAACATGACTTTTCTAGCTGATCATGAATTAATAAAATGCAACAATTAGAATCATTTCACAGAAGATAAGGACAGTCTTTTCCCTGGTGATTGAAAATACTCTTATAAAAGATTCTGCTTCGATTTCAAAGAACACAATATTGGCTATACGCATTCAGTGAGGCAGACGTAAGTCTGGAAGAGTAGAACGCAATTTCATTTATGTGTTCATAACTTAATTGATCCTTGGAAGTTGCTTGTATTTCCAAACCTACTGATGGGCTGTTAAGATCACAGGGAACTATGATTAAAGAGCCTTGGAGGACTGCAAACTCGAAGAATAAAAGAACTCGCCCATCAGATCTAACTCATAGTGATACTTCCAGCCAGCCTCCTTTTCATGCAGCTAAATTGGCCTGAGAAGCAATAAAATACTGGAGCACATCAGTGATGAGCTCTATTCTTACTTGCAATGCTTATCTTTAATACATAGAGCTTCAAACATTTTTAAAATGTGAAGAAAATAAAGCAAAAATAAGCTGCATGGTAGTCCCACACAAACACACAATAAACCTGCCAAGAAGCAATTGTGACAGTATACACATTGGCATATGACAGTGATACATGTGACTGCCACATAACAATACATATGACACAGTATGATGTGACAGATAATAGAATATGTTTCCCAATACCCTGTGCACAACATTCCTTCCCTTAGTTTAAAAACATAAAAGGTAATGGTAAACATTTTTCATGGACTACAAAAGTGCTACTGTCTGCTATGGTAAGCCAAGCGAAAGGACATCTACTGGCTTCCTATTCATTCCTATGGATCAGTTATTTGGCTGAGTAAACTTTAGAGCAAGCAGAAGTACACTGCAAAAGATGAAACAAATAGTTGAAAAGCAATAATGAAGATTGAGACACAGTGTATAATACTGAGGAAAAAGCATCCCATTAATAGGCATTAAGACAGGATTCTCTTGAAGACTGATCAGCCTGAGTCAGCCATCACCATTCCCTCACTGCTGTTCTCACCTGCATTGCGTATTTTTCAATTTCCTGTGCTCTGCTCAAATACCAATCAGTAACAAGATCTACTGAAAGGTCAGTAGTCCTATACTTCAGTAACTCAGGCTGCGTTTCATACAGAAATTCACCTTCATCTTGTAAAGTTGGTTCAACAATCATCCTTTAAAAAAAAAAAAAAAGTTAAGTATATGTTTAAGTATATATTTGCTTCCATTTTTTTCACACGAGTCTTTTTCCTAAAACTTCTGGTTGTTCCAAAAGAAATTGATACAATCAACCTACCATTACACCAATAATTTGATGAGACTCAGATGCCAGTCACAGTAAGTGTCAATTTTTGTCAGCAAAGTAACTAGTAAGAGATTCCAAACGTGAGACAGATCATGAAAGAAAGAATCCTCTCTGCTAAAGACAGAGGTATGCCTAACCTCTGCTTTCCATCTGTTTCTCACACAGTGAAAGACAGTTTCAGGATTCATTAATGCTGCTATGATAATGTTATGGCTGACAAGTAATGGGGTGGAAGAAAAAAAAAGTAAATAAATCAGGATTTCCAACAGTAACCTCCCCAACTCCACTTGCATTTGTGAAAGTTACTCATCACAGAACCACACTGAACATAACACTGTAAAAAAAGTTTGCTCAGTCAGTCTCATTAAGAAAGCTGAAAACACTAGCTCGCGTGTAAAAAAAACAGGAAATGAGTCTTAGTGGGTATCTCCCACATTTTAAGAATTACTAAGTAAATTCTTTATCTGAAATGTACATAAATATAGAAAAAACTTTTTGCTTTTTCCATATGCTTACCTGCATTCTGCTTTTTCACACCAGTCTTCTTCACGATGTTTCTGCTCATTCCAAGGAAGAATTTTCAAAGTCCCTTGCTTGTAACTGGTATCACAGAAAAGGGAAGGTTTACGCAATTTATTTCTTTTTTAAATTGTGATAGCATCCAATCAACGGACTACAAAGCATACACAAGTACTTCAGTGAATTCATAATAAGCATATCATTCAATTACAGTATCAATTCTTTAAATTTATCACGTCTTAAAGCAGCTTTACAAGTGTGATTTTGCCTGTATGATATTATCCATACTAACACATATTCTATCCATACTAACACATATTCTACCTATACCATTAAAGATCCACTAAAATAAATTAATAAAATTATTTTCTTACTGACCATACCTTTTTAAAAAAAAGGAAAAAACCCATTACATGCTTTAAGAATTTTTACTGCTTCACAGTAAGTATTCTGACTTCATATGCTATCACAGAAGACTGAAATGAGTGAAAATCTATGATCTTCACAGCTTAAAAAAAATATAATTCTTCAAATTTTAGTACACATCCTGGTACTGAAACAAAACAAGTTATACCCTGCTGTACTGATCTTCTCAATTAAGTTTAACGTGTTTTTCTGACTACAAACTTTCACAGTGAAATGTTCTTTAAATACTGAGGTTGAAGGAAAAAAAAAATATGTTTAAGATGTAGATTAACAACACCATGGGCTATTACTAGAATGATTAGTTATTGCTCGTTGTTGTAGACTAGTTGCTTAAGCAGCACAAAACCCAAGAAAACCATGTCAAGCTATGCAGAACATAAACTAAGAGGGAAGATAAGAGCCATATAGGTTCTAGCATTTGTAGTAAAAAGAAACAAACTATGTACAAAGTAAAGACATTACAGTTTCAGGATACTGGAGCAATACACTACTTTAAATCTCATTCATTTTTCTCCTGACCCTGATAACAGCAACAGCAATGGACAATCCCTATTTATAGATTAACAACCAACACAACCTTCTCATCCCTTGAAGGGCAGAACTGTAACTCAGTAGTTTAAAAAGAAATGCAATTCCAACAAACAAATCAATTTCACAATACACTAAGAGTTAAAACAACAACTAAAAATCAGTAACTCCATCTCATTTAGCAAGTCATAAAACACATTTAACAAAGCAAAGTATGTCCATACTAACTGCTCTGCCCTGTACACACACACATTTCTCCCAGAAGGTCAGACACCCTTTCCCTCCTCCATGCACTAACAAATAATACCTCGTGTTTTATCACGGTAATTTCAACGCTCCAAATGAAATATGCAGTAGAAATCCAGCAGTAAATTGGCACAGACAGATTTGCAGGCTATAAAAGTCAAAAGAAAGGAGTGGAGAAGTCGGAAAACTGCTAATTCCTGTGTCTCAGCTATAGTAATATCTGTGTTCAATTCCAGTTCAGTTGGACAAAACACTCAACAATTACCTTTATCATGTAGTAACATCACTGAAAGATGATTTTCATTAATGATCAACACAATTAATCAACTCCAATTTCACATTACACATAGCTTTCTTCCCCAACACTAGTTAAGGTATTACTATGTGTTGCTAGTGTTCTGCCTCCAAGAATTGTAATGCTAAGATTTTGTTATTTTACTGTATTTAAAAAACTCAGATACAGTATGGGTCTGTAAGATTTGATTACATCAAATCAAATAATTTTAACAATCTTTTATTCATAAACATCAGGGGTAAAACGAGATTCAGTCATTAGCAAGGACCACTTGGCAGTGGAAGCTCTCAAAGGAGCCTGAGGGCTTGGGCAGTTTCACAAGCTGAAGTATCACAAAGCCAAGCTGAGAGGAGCACCCAGACACCTTCTCCTTCTCTTAGTCTCCTTCCCACAGCTCCAGTAAGAACAGCATGAATAGTACTGGGTAACCTGGAAAACAAAGTCAACCCCTTTCTGTTGGTCTCTCTCTTACCCACTTCTTATTAAGACAACATATGGGTTGATCCACCATCCCTGGAGGTATTTAAAAGATGTTGTAGATGGGGCATTTAGGGACATGGTTTAGAGGTGGACTTGGCGGTGTTAGGTTAATGGTTGGACTCAATGATCTTAAAGGTCTTTTCCAACCTAAATGATTCTATGATTCTATTAAAGAGAACATAAACTGTGCCCCTACCCCTCTCTTCCAAACTTTGGCTTTTGCACGAGTCTCTGAAACACACAACTGATGAAGGAGCAACAGGGGGGACACATGACAAGTAAATCATTATATCAAGATCCATTAGAAAATTGCAGCAGACATCATTCACTATATTTACACTGAAAGCAAATTCCTGTTCCAAGTAGTCACTTGCAGACTGTTCATGGCTCTTTCAAATAGGCGCATCTCATCTGAGTAAGTCTTCCCTTATAATCTCAGAGTCCAAGGAGAAATTTTGGGAAAGTTGCTTTGGTTTGGCTGTTCCTTCACTGGTTGTTTTTGTTGTTATTGAGAGAAAGAAGTCATGAAAAATAGTAAGGAAAGAAGTGTACACATTTAATGGATATTTAAACTTCAAAATTTTCCTCTTTTGGCTAACAAATTATTAAACGAGAAAATCACTAGAAATAAGCAAAGACAGCAGAAGTTTAGAACATAAATTTAAAGCATGACTATGGGATCTAAATGACAAGGAACCAAGACATTCCAAAACTCACACGCACTTTCCTAATGCTACTATCCCTCACAGTATGAGACCTGAAGGGGGGGGCAGGAATCTCTACTGATCCAAGCCTGTACTGTCAAAGACTACATTAAACACATTCTTCTTAATTAACCTGCCACATCCTGCTTACTTGCCATAGACATGGCAAAGTTACATTCTGGAATTACCGCTCCAGTTAAGAAATTGTTTCTTAACAAATTAAAGTCGGCAAAACTTACAAATTTTACTGACCTGAATATCAGGATGAATTATATGTTTCTTCCCTCCAATTATTCTTAGCATAGTTGAGTCACTTTCCTGACCCTGATAAACAATTATTAGAGACTAACCAGTTTCATTTTTATGCAACCAAGAGTTACCCATCCAGCATAAAATCAAAAGTTACTAGAAAACACTTCTTTTTGCAGACTGATGTAATTGCCTACCCAGTCCTTCTCCTCAACTCATTTCAGAAAATAATCTCTATCTCCCTCTCCCCATCTAAAAGTAGTTGTCTTCCCTATCCCTGTAACACAAAACACACCTGGGTTTGCCTTTAAATTCCAACTGCTTCAAATATTTTTTAAAAATACATTTTTAAATAGAATCCTTTCCAATTAACAGAAGTAATGGATTAAGTACAGACTCCATTCAAAATAACTTCTCCAACACCCTACTATGGCTTAGAGTTTCAACTAAAGTTAAAAGTTTATTGCTTAACAACATGCTTGTTGAGAAAGATCTCACTCAATTCGAGTTCCCAGGCTCTGCTGTCATTGTTTGACAGTTGCTTTGCTTCCCCCTTTCCCCTCACCTCCAAAATCCATCAAGTGAGGAGGCAATGTGCAACTCTGCCTCCCTCTGCCTACCTTACTCAATATGGTACAATACAAAAAAAGTTGAAAAGTACAGAGACAAGCAATGTGAATGACCAAAGGTAAGAAGTATGTGATCATCCCTTCTGTAAAAGCCACAGCATACTAAAGAATCTTAGAAGAAAGTAAACAATCAACATGCTAAGACTGATATCAAGTTGTTCATTTTTTTGTTTCACTTAAATAGGAAATGACATTTCACTGTTTTTACTTCCTACAACACTGTAAGCATTGATGAGACTAGCAGGGCCTCATTTAAAATCAAACAGCTGCAGATACTGTTTTATACCATACGCAGCTAAGTTGTTAACTACTTACTGCATGACATAGAAGATAAAACATCATGTATTTGGGTTCAAAAACAGAAAGAAGTCTTGGAATAAAGCGTCATGAAAGTTTACTATGTCTAGAAAATACCTAGTTCAGGAATATTTGAGCCACATATTATAGACACTTGAGAAACTTCAGGTTAATATTGCACTGTGCTTGCCAACACCTCTTTTTTTCCCTTGGCAAGCACTGTTGGCCATTTGCCTTCTGCCCAAATCTACCAAGACCAATCTCAAGTTTCAGTACAAGATTTTGCAGGAATGAAACCTACAGTTGTCCAGACACATCAATTCATGAAGTACTATAAGCATACTTCAAAAGTTTTTCGTAACAGTTTATTAATAGACCTCACCGTGAAATACTAAAGAAGAGAAGACTTCAGTTCATGGGAAAGAAACGTTATGCAGTGCAATCTTGACTGGAAAACGTCTCCTCCATCTTTTTTCCCCATCTCACAGCAGGAAAACGTTCAAGTTAAATACTTTAAGTCAGGTGTATGGATAAGCCACGGAAAATTCTTTTAAAAGTATTTTCTGCTCTGGCTCAATTTGCCATTTTAAAAGTATTCACATTCACTACAGAAAGAAGTTGAGAGGGGAATTTCAGATTTTTAAAGCTCTCACCAAAAGTCTAGCAGCACTCAGCAACTCTCTCTTCTAAATGCTTAAAGAAAACAACACACACACACACAAAAAATACAACTGCAAAGTATCTCATCCTAGTAGAAATCAGCAATTATGGAAAGTCAGTCTTAAAAGATACGTTTCTTGCTGAGCTAAGTTCACCAAAAAAACAGCAAAAACACCACCACTCAGAACTGACTGCTAATTTCATTCACCTTTTCAACAACGCCAAAATAATTCGTAACTCCCTCCTGCCCCATACATGACTGCATCCAACTGTATTACTTTCTCTCCTCATTCTGAAGAGTTTAGAAAAACTCTTCATATTTGAATTCAAATACAAGCACCGGAATAAACCAGTCTCAACTCTAACAAAAGATGAGAGATCCCTGTATCCAAGTACTTTACAAAAGTGAAAGTACTTTACAAAAGCGAAGAAATTATTAAAATGCTGTATTTATCTCAACATTTATCACAAGGTTTTTTCTAACTGATAGTTATGTTTTAGCACAGATTTTTTTTTTTTTCCCCTCAGATTTCCATTATCAGTAACTCAGTGACTCATGCAGAAAGA